GTGAGAGAAGGGGAGCCAAAGTACTGAAAGAAGCTGACAGTGTATTTCTAGTTTGCAACAGTTTCAGTTTCCTCTACTGGAATTACTGGAAAACTGCATTACATTTTATAATTTAACCTGGTGTTGCCTGGTAGGCAGCACTATCCAAAACAATGAGCAACATATCTATGAAACTATCACGTCATTAGAATACAACAAGATCACAAACTGAATTCCATCAGATAACATGAGCTACATCTGCAGGAAAACATGAGGTACTGTAAACTGAGCCCTCAGGTTTGTTAACAAAGGGAACTCCTGGAATATTTCTGCTATGAAGTTGAGTTTATTGTGCATAATGAGGCAGAACTAGGTTCCAGCAGACATTTCTTCACAGACCTCAGTGCACAAACGTGTTAACAGCTCAGCTTGGTTAATTAATTAAGGATAACATTTTGCATTGGCTGTACATGCTTCAGTGCTCTGGGAGTGTTTATAGCCCTGTGAGTTTAACACTTCATGACTGACAGCTGCCCTTCATGGCAACAGAACCCACAGCAACAATACATTTTATCAGTGTCTTCATATGGACACTTGTCTGGACTCGTGGCAAGTAGCAAATTAATTAATACAAGAAGATTTGTAATTAGCAGAAATGTAATTTTAAGTGTTTCAAATATGAAACTGTTTATAATGTAACCCTGTACAAGAGCTGCTCTGGCTCATCAACAGGAACCACAGAAAACTGAAGCAGAGGACAACTGTAGACCTACCACAGCTGGACGGGCTCAGTACTGTATGTCCCTCAGTGACACATTTTTTAATCATCACCTGCCCCAGTTTTTACTTTTGAAGACTTTGATTAGGAAGAGGAAACAGACACATTGGAGAAAGACAAACATCCCTGAACTGAAAAAATCACTGGTCACTATATACTGTATTCAAACTCAATTGATCTCCTGAGCCTTTGCCTTTCTTCAACTGCTGTTACTTGTGACATATATTTTTCTATTTTTTAGAGATCCTTGAGCTCAACCAATATAAAATAACTGTATTGAGAGCAGCTCTTCCCCTGCCTAGATGTGATCATGTCACTTGAGGGCTCAGAGATCACTACCACTTCCCAGACAGCAGAGAGCTCGGCTTCTCCAGAAGACTGGGTCTTCTACAGCAGGAGACTTCTGCACTGTCTGGGGCTCAACAAGGGTGGAAAGATTTGGGAGGTGGTTGGATAGGGAGGAGGAGGTGTGACAGGGCCCATCTACAGCCCATCCCACAGCCTGCATGCATTAGGCAGTGATCCTGACTCTGGAATCTGGTAACTTATTTCTGAGGTTTTATTTAATTATTTCTGTATAAAACAAATATTGAAATAATCAATTCTTCACAAAGGTCACATTTAATGGGACATTGGCATAATCAAACTGACACCTTTGTTCTCAATCGTGTTCCCTTTATTTTGAGAAACCCTGTACACTTGGTAGAGGGGCTGGTAGTTGGACACTGAGCTGTTCAGTTACAGGCTTGGAAATGTTCAGTCTGGGTTCAGATCAACACACAGTACAGGAACAAATGTGCTTAAGCGAGAGACACGAGTTCAGAATGACCGTAAGATGGAGCAACTTCCCCATTTTTAAACTAGAAACAGAAAAAAACAAAATAGCTTTTCTCTCAGCAGTGTTCTCAATGACAGATAGGCAACAGTCTTTCAGGGCCTGTTATAGAGGTAGGGGGGTCTTTGTACCCTTCAAGGTGTCTGGTGGTGCAGTCAGTCTGCTACAAAACTGCATTTAGGGCTCATCATCCTTGACATATTATGACATATATTAAAATTGTTTGTGTTAAAATACATAAAATTTGCATTCTTGTTTTTTGTAAATATTGTTAGAGGCTGAGGTTGTGGACAATGGAGGTATCTAAGAATCTAGACAAAGTGTCTAACACCTGGCAGTGTAAACATTTCCAGCATCAAAGCAGGAGGGATGTTTTCTGAGACTTAGAGGGTCCAGATTCTGTGATCAAAACAGTCATAAAGTTAACCTCGGTTTACCTTAATTAAGTTCTGAGTAAATGAGTGAAGTGTCAATCAAAAGTCCAGAATGACACCATATAAGATCCGATCAAGAGGAGGACAGAAAAGATGAAAGGGGTAAAACAGGACAACAGAAGAACAAGAACAGGACCAGACAGAACTTGTAACTTGTGCCAGGCAAGAGTCCCTACTTCAAGATCATCTGAAAAGTCCTGATTCGAGCTCAGTATCTGAATCTTGCTAAGGGAGCTTTAGGAAACATGGAGTTCCTGAGTGAAAAGTCCCTCAGTTTAAAACTGCCTCTCCTGCTTATCGGGTGCATTTTAGAATAGAGAGATGGGCTTCCATTTACTCTGTGGCATCTGGGTGTGTAGGGAGAGATCTAAGTGTAGGCTGTATTCTGTTTAGTTTAGAAGGCAGCTTATCTCTCCTTCGGCCTCTGTTGGCATTATTAAAGAGCCAGGTATTCAGTAGCAGTTTGGGGTTATCTGGGTGGTCTGGATGTAGGCCTAGTCTGTATACTTGTAAATACAGTAACTTGTATGTTGTGTGTTTATGATGTGTGTAGTGTACAGTTTGTATTGTCATTGTTAATATTTGTTTAATCGGTGTGCCTGATTTGTTACTGTTCTCATCGAAACAGAGAACAAAGAATTAATGTAAGTAATCCTACCAACCACTCTGGTTAATTTTTTAAGAAATGCTTACAATCTGGCGGTTATGATTATTTATTTTACTTATTGATTTATTCCTTCACTCAGTTCCTTTTATTCACCATTTTTGAAACCCCACCACTTGTAACAATACTCTGTTTTCATCTCAGGACACCCACAGAGCATGTTGCTCTGCAGGATTTAAGATGCTTCAGGGGGGAATGCAGTTATAGGGAAAATAGAAGAGGATGTTTTTCAAGGTTTGCACAAGATCAGTGAGTTCTGGAGGTGGAAACTTGTATTGTTTACACCTCTAATATACCTGCTGTACATTTACTAAAACAAATAAAGCACTTTAAAACAAGTTTTGCTTTCCCAAGCTCTTTCTGAAAGGGTTCTTCACCTGTTAGCCAGCCATTCTGTTAGGAATCCCTGGTGGGAAGATACAAGGATCCTGTGCAGACGCAGGCA